ACCCTCTGAATCTTTTTCCTCACCCTTCACTCTCTGCTGATGGCTCTCTGACAGCCTTTGGCAGGAAGCTCTACCTGGTCACGAGCGTGGCATTTGGTGAGAGGGGGATTACACATGGTGTATGCGTCACCCTCACCATTTCCGCAGGACTTCTGTCCTGCCTCCCATCTTGTCTGAAACTCTTGGCTAGCTCTTCATTCCCTAGGACGCTGGGCAGCAGGCACCTGCTGCTACCCAACAGTTCAGAGTCCCTAGCAGTCCCTGTTTGCGTGTGGCCTTCACCAGTCCCCACAGAAGGTGGTCCCCGAGACAGAAGGTGCCTGGTGGGCACATGAAGTAAGGAGAGCTTTTTCTTTGGGGGAAGAGTGGACGAGGGGGATGAAATAGATGGGGAGGAAAAAAAAAAGTGAGGCCAAGCGAGTGAGGGAAGAAGCACTGGCAAGTGTTCATGAGAAAGAGAGAGAGAGAAGGTGGAAGAAAGGAAAAGAAAGAGAGCAAGGGAAAAAACAGGTGAAAAAGTTGGAACGAGGGAAAGAAATATAAGCAAACCAAAGGGAGAGGGAGGACTGAAAGTGAGACAGAGCTAACGGCTGTTCCGCCTAGCACCTGGTGGCCATGCCTTGAGGAACCCCTCCAGCGTGCATACATCGCGCATTGCAGCAGCAGCAGCAGCAGCAGATGAGGAGGGACGTGGCTCCCCCAGTGTGGAGTCCCACTCACCCTCTCACAAAATCCCAACGGCAGGGACAGGGTGCAGCCTAGCAAGGGTGGCAGCATGGGGGACTCTGAATCAGAGTCCACCTTGCATAACAATTCGCTGTGGTGGCTGGCATGTGGAATGTTAGCACTGTTGGCCAACTCTTGGATTATCCTCAGCATTACGGCCAAACAACAGAAACACAAGCCCCTGGAGCTGCTGCTATGCTTCCTTGCTGGGACCCACATCCTTATGGCAGCAGTGCCCCTCACCACCTATGCCGTGGTGCAGCTGCGGCGTGAGTCCTCCGACTATGACTGGAACGAAAGCATCTGCAAGGTCTTTGTCTCCACGTACTACACCCTGGCACTGGCCACCTGCTTCACAGTGGCCTCCCTTTCCTACCACCGGATGTGGATGGTGAGATGGCCAGTCAACTACCGGCTGAGCAATGCCAAGAAGCAGGCTCTGCACGCAGTCATGGGTATCTGGATGGTATCGTTCATCCTCTCCACCCTGCCCTCCATCGGCTGGCACAACAATGGCGAGCGCTACTATGCCCGTGGCTGCCAGTTCATTGTCAGCAAGATAGGGCTGGGCTTTGGTGTCTGCTTTAGCCTCCTGCTGCTCGGAGGAATCGTCATGGGCTTGGTGTGCGTGGGTATCACTTTCTACCAGACCCTGTGGGCACACAGAAGACGCCGGCGGTGCCGCCATCAGAGGGCAGAGGAAGCGTCATCCTGCTCTTCATCAGCACACACCACTTTCAATGTGCCGGCCATTGTAGTGGAGGATGTACGAGGCAAAAGGAGGTCTTCACTGGATGGCTCCGAGTCAGCCAAGACCTCCTTGCAGATGACCAACCTCATCAGCGCTATTGTCTTCCTCTATGACACACTCACGGGGGTGCCTATCTTGGTAAGCAACGAGTTCTCCCTGTCCCTTTAGAGTCTGCAGTTAAACTAGATTTCCATTTCTATCAAGTTTTAGAGAAGAAACTCTGTCTTCTGCCCACCAGCCACAGAGTTGCCGCATCTGAATCTGTGTTATTGTGAGGGCCAGTTTTAAAAAGATCGCAGTAATTCTCTCAGCCTTCCACAGCAGCATTTTCTTAAGACAGGTCTAAGCCTGGGGAATATGTACCACACAGCTAAAACCACTGTGAAAGTTTTAAGTGGCTAAGAGGAGAGGAAATTATTCTGCGAACTTACAGGGGGATCGGCCTCTGTAAAACCAATGAGATTTCTGTTTCTCCAATTTGCTTCTGGAGAACTGATACACCAGCTTTAAAAGCTGTTGCAGACAGTTTCCTTTTTCCTTCTGCTTGTATGGTCATAGTCAGCATTCAGGTTTTGGCTGGCTGGTTGATTCTCTGCAAAACTGGAGAGCTGGGGAAGTTCACAAAGGGAACCATTAAGAGAACAGAGGCTTAGTCTCAGCTTTTTTTTTTTTTCCAGTGGCTGTGTCCTTTGTTAGCACCTATTTAGCTCCAGCTTATAATGAGCACAGGGAAGAAGGGATGCTAACACCAGGTCTCATGTTAGAGATATGACAGCTCAGAATATGGGCCATCTGGGGGGCGACTCCCCAGGAACAGTTTTTCAAAGGAGCACAGGGTAATTATTTGACAAATTCTTTATAGACAGATTACGTTCTACTACAGAACTGACTCCTGTTAGCTTTCTCTGTTGATCCCCACTTCTGTCTTCTTCCTTGGCGTTGTTTCTCTCTCTTACTTCAAAGGTCGTGAGCTTTTTTAGCCTGCGCTATGATACAGCCCCCACCTGGATGGTCCTGGCTGTGCTCTGGTGCTCCATGGTGCAGACCCTGCTGCTCCCTTCCTTCATCTGGTCCTGCGAGCGTTACCGAGCAGATCTCCGCACTGTGTGGGAGCAGTGTGTGGCTATCATGTCTGAGGAAGATGGAGATGATGGTAAGCTCCTCACCACCCCACAGCCACCTTTCTTCACTAACCCCTTCCCCAAAAGACTACAGAGGAAGGAGGGGTCTGCCTTGGGAAAAGGATCTGACAGCATGAGGAGTGGTGGTGTGGGTGGCTAGGTAGAATTCATGTTACAGCTTGGAGTCGGCAACCTTAAGAAAATTTATTCTGGAGAAGGCTCTGCCACTTGCTTGCTGCCTTAGGACTCAGTAGCATCCAGGAAAAATTAGTGCAACATCCTTCAGAGTAGATGCAAGAGTAGAGACCATGTGTATAGCTGCCAAACCACAATGAAAGCGACACGCTGGGCCTCAGCCCAACTCACTGATCCAAAGGTCCAGGTTCTGGCAGTGAGGGATTCAAAAGCGAGACAGGGCAGTCTCTGGGTGCTTTAGTGCTGCTGCAAGCAGAAAGATGAGCTTCTTGTTCGGAGGTGAGGGCTGCAAGTAGGGCAGCAAAAGTCAGACAATCATTAGGATGGCGTCCCGGTGCCCTGATAACGCTCCTCTTCTGGCTGAAAAGTGTTGACTGCCGTTCTCCTCTTTGCCAACAGATGGTGTGTGTGACGATTATGGCGATGGCAGGATCTGCAAAGTGAGATTTGATGCGAACGGTGCCGCAGCTGTGAAGCGGGACTCCCGAGACATCAAGCTGCTACCCATGCACCACATGTTGTTGCCCCAGGACAAGGTGCACTACCTGCAGGTGAGCCAAGAGCTAGCAGGGTCAGCCCCACCAACCCACTTCCTTCTCTGTCAGTCTCCCACGCCTTCATGTCCTCTTGACTCTCTTCTCCTGCTCTGACTCTTCAAGTCTTCCATCACAAGCCTCCTTCTCTGTTTTCCAGGTCCCTATCTCCCGGAGAATGTCACATGATGAGACTAACATCTTCTCCGCCCACCGCTCCGCTCCATCCTTCCTACACAAGTGGTCTTCATCTGACGACATCCGCATTTCCACCCCCCGCAAGCCTGGAGGCCCCGGCTTCTTGCCTCCTCAGCTGCATGACTACCAGCACCGCCGGCGGCCCCCAGAAGATGAGCTGACAACCCTACGGCAGTTTTTGGAGGGGGGGCTGATGCCCCGGGGCTCCAGCTCCAGCGCCTGCTTCTTCCGAGATGAGATCACCATGTTCATTGACGAGACGCCACAACCCACCCCAGCCTGCAGCCCACGGCACTCCCGTCTCCCGCTCGCATCACGCCGTGATCGCCGCCTCTCCCTCGGCAGCAGAGAGGAGGAGAACGCCGACCGGCCACGGCGCTGCTCCTTGGCTGGCAATGAAGCCTGGCATCTGCAGGACGGAGAGCAGGCGCCGTGTGAAAGGACCCTTGAGGCCTGTGAGGCACAGACCTTCCAGGATCCCAAACTATGAGAGACAGCATCAAAAACATTCAGTGCCATCACGATTTTTAAATAAAACTTCAAGTGTTCCCTTTGTCCTGGGACCCAATCACTAATTTGCATTCTCATCTTTCTCGACAGCAGGCAGGAAACACGGCACCCCATGCTGGTGGGGGAAAAAGAAGTGGGACAGACCCGCAGAAGGGAGCTCAACTGACAGACCGACAGCCTGTGCCTGCTCTCAGGTTACAAACACACCCACTGCTGCCACCGCCCCTTGGCACCCTCGCTGGTCCAGTCCCTTTGTGAACTCCACCCTCGCATCCGCTCTGCCCTAAGAGACAAGGCAGGCGCAGAATGGTATTAAAATTCTATATTTGGAGTGTCAAACGTGTGTCTGTTTTTATATATTAGTAATAATTTTGTTTCCATAGAAACAAAATGACTGGACCAATGTTTAATGAAGCTTCACAGGCTTCTGGAAGGGAAACGCAGAATGCGCGAGGCTCCTTTCCTCCCTCTCCATCCCTTTCTTGTCAGCGCATCTGGAAGGCAGCAGATGCTTAGCAGCACAGGGAAGGGAACGAAGCCCGTAGAGTTGTCATGGGAGACTGGGTGAAAAGTTTTCCTGTCCATTTCAGGGGAGACTTAGGCTGCCTACAGCTAAGCAGGAGCGGCCTCTGCACTTTCTAATATCGCTCAGCAAAAGGTATTGTTTTGATGTAACCCCAGGCTTGAAAACAATTAATTTCTCTCCAAAAAGACCCTGGTCTATAACATCTTATTCGCCAGTGCAAACTGTTGATTCCAGCGTGAACTCTGTGTGAAACACAAAGGCCCAAACTTCTCATCCAAACAGGAAAGCTGACAGAGCCCCCGACTGCCCACGCCATCAAAGCTGGGAGTGGTGAGGTCTGGAGCCTGCTCCTGCCCCATGCCAAACTCTTGGGAGGGAGGTGCAGAGGCAGCGTGTGGGAGATGGACCTTCTCCTGCCCAGCGCTGGCTGGAGTTCAGCCATGGGCAAGGGTTTGGCTGCGTCAGAGGGGCTGAGGGAGATGGGTAGCCCTTCACCTCCAAAGCGCTTCTCCAGGCGATGGGACTTGGTCTATGAACTGTCTCGTGCCTCGTCCCCAGCGTGGATTCTGGTAGATTAAGCATAACCTCTTAGGAAATGTCTCGTCGGAGGGGTTTGGGAGACCCATACCGAAGGGAGGGTTAGCGCTGGGGGATGTTCGGATGCTTCGCCGGCACGAAGGACCCGGGGGATGCCACGGCTCTGCTGGCACCGGGCTGGCCCAGGCGCCCACGGAGCGGCGGCAGGCCCCAGCTGCTG